CTTGAGACTGAGTTTGAGTTTGTGCTCTCTCGCTTATCCTTTTTTTTTTTTTTTTTTTTTTGACTGCATGCCAGCTGCAGGGCTGAATCAGCCACATGTAACGTAAATGCCGTAAGATTATTGTATTGGTATTACAACGTAACCCTGCACTCCAGTTGCGCTTTCACAGAAATGTAGCTTCTAGATTTTAATCTTTATGCTGCTTATTATTAGTTTCTGAAACAACACTAAAACCCATATATATTATTTGTATGCAGCACAGCAGTGTGAGGACAGGAGCATAAATAGAAAAGGGGCATATTTAAAATAATGTAGGGAATCAGTAGTAGTATGGGAAGAACTCCAGACACCCTGACTCCCATTCTCCAATTAATCTGCGATCCACACCTGCAGATGAGTATTCTGTTTCTCTTTCTAGCAAGCACACAAAATGGATTTGCCTGTATGGGTGACACCAGATGTCCTGAATCAATTGAAGCAACTAAAAGACTTTGGGTTTGAATTTCTGTTTGGGATCCACAATCGGGTAGAAAAAGCTCGTCTGCAAGGCGGTGAGTGTGCTGGGGAGGAAGCTTCACGCTGCTCTGTTTAGTTTTGCCTCTTACCAGCTGTTCCCTTTCCTCAGGGGTCCTGCTGGATCACATAAGGAAAAACCTAATCAAAGCAACAAATGTTTCTGCCCACCAGAACCTGAAACTACTGGCCTATTCAGCGGTAAGTCAGAGCTTGGGGGCTAGCTTTTATCCATCTCCTCCTCCTCACAGGGGATTGGGGCTTGGTGATAGTTTTAACCCTTTCTGGCTTCTCTGCAGCCCAATGCAGTGATCAGGACACGCATCCTTGCCTGTGACTGGGTGGGATGTGCATGATCTGGCATCATTCCTCTGCGGCCCCTGAGGAAAATTCCCATCCTGCGCTTTGTTCCTGTTAGCTCAGGCTTGTGGATGAGACTGGCAGACTTTGGGGAGCGACTGCTGAATTTGTTTGGTAGATGGGTTGATGCGACTCAGATGTGATGTTTCAGCAGTGTAGATACAGAGTCATCTCCCCTTTCCGGCAGCCTACTGACTAGAAAGTCAAGCATCTCTCCCAAATTGCTCCCTAGAGATTAATTCTTAAAGAACAATGCAGGGTATATATGGCTGTGTTTCACTTCCTCCCCTTCTCTGGCACCATCACAGATCACTGTTCTAGCAGTACAGTGCCTCTCCTTTCTTCCAGATGGAAGTTACAAAGGTGATGACCCCTCAGCACTGCCCTGTTACTGGTATGGTCTGAGCTGCCCTGCCACATCCATAAGGGTGACTGATTTGGTTTTTTTCCCTCTTTCTCAGCATGACACCACACTTGTGGCACTGCAGATGGCTCTAGATGTCTACAACAAGATTCAAGCACCATACGCCTCATGTCATTTATTTGAGCTCTACCAAGAGGATGATGGGTGAGGGCTGCAGTAAAGACATCTGCTGTGATTTCACCTCAAGGGTTAGATACCTAGGCTAGGCTCCACCCTAGGGGGATACAATCTTGCTCCTAGTGGCAGACTCTTAGGAGGAAAACTACCACCAGACTAGAGGAAAGGGTGTGCACACTGAGTTTTTGGGAATGGATGACTTTAGCTGGATGGAAAAAAAAAAACATCTAGCTGTGTTTTGTTTTCAGTAACTTCTCTGTGGAGATGTTTTTCCGGAACGAGAGTGGAAAGGAACCTTTCCCACTGACACTCCCTGGCTGTCAGCATAAATGCTCACTGCAGAGATTCTTGGAACTCACAGATCCTGCTGTTCCCCAGGACTGGGAGCAAGAATGCCGGGTACCAAGCAGTGTGCACGACACAGGTGAGCCCAGGCTGGACCAGAGTGTGGCAGAAGGGGAAAGCTTGGACGATACCATGTTGACCACTTGTTTTCTCCCTTGCAGAACTGTTTGTGGGTCTGGCTGTGTGTGGATCCATTCTCCTTCTCCTTATAATCCTCCTCTTGACTGTACTCTTTCGCATACAGTCTCAGCCTCCCGGCTACCGGCATGTTTCCAATGACGGAGAAGAGCAGGCCTGACAGTTGCTTCAACTCCTTCCCAGGCAGTAGGAAGGAGCAGTCTTGCCCCTAAGGATGATTGGGCACCTTCAGTTACTGAGCATTCTTCTGCTTTGGCCGTTGCTTCCCAGAATGGAGCTGGACTTGATTTTTGGATGCTTTCTAAAGGTGACATCCCAGAGAGAGAGGACTGAGCTACTCTAATGGAAATGACACTTTATTTCTGAAGCCAGTATACTGTGTGGTGCCCCCAGTCCTCATACAGCTTACCTAGTCTGGGATTCCCAACATGGCAAATTGGAGCTGGTCAAGAGATTTCCTCCTTTCAGTGATTGTGAATGTTACCACTCACCATGACTGTGGCAGAGGGGCTTGGACCTCCAGCAGCCACCACATCCAGTGCAGTCAGGAGTTGCATCTCTCTTCAGGGTCAACCTGCTTTGAGTGCTTTTCTCTCAAGCCATTGGGCTGATGATGATGGGAAGGCTGGGCTTGGAGCAGAGGGCCCAGCTCACCAACAATGCACCGAGACTCATCTACTGTCCATGCAGAGGGAACTGCTGCAGATGACGGCAGACAGTGAAAAGCATTTCTTGAGGTTGCTGCTGAGTAGTTGCTGCTGGCAACATTTTTTCCCTCCTCACATTGTGGTTCAAGAGAGAACTGGCCTGGAATCAGGACGAGATTGAAAACCTGGCAGTAGTTTCTAGGATTCAACTCAGAGTAGATTACATATGATCCAAAGAAGCTCTAAGAGCTTCATCAAAGAGATGAATTCCTGTGACCACAGCAAACATGCACCCAATTTCTTGTGCAGTGTTGGCGCTAGAAAGGAGAGTCCCCGTGGATAAGAAACTTAGGCCCTGTCTAAAGATTCAGCCTCTGAATTTGACTTCCCCACCTCTGAACTTTAAGTACCTATTGCAGGGACTATCTAGTACTGCAGGCAGTCCAGATTTCAGCTACGAGCCCAAGGAATATGTTTTTCTAGCAGTATGTTTTTATGCTATAATTAAAGAGATGTAACAGAGCTGTTTACCTAAGGCTAGATTAAATGCCAAGTTCTGTAGGTTTTTTTCCTATCTTCCCTACTGGATGGACAACAAACAAACCAACCCCATTAAGTATCAGAGTTTGCAGGTGACTGTGGATCCCTCTATTTGCCATGCTTTGGCATTTTGTCCAAAGTGTGACTCCTTCTCCAGCCTGGCCTCTCTGTGCACACTGGAGCTGCTGCACGGAACTTCACGCCAAGTGCTCACTACCTGCCTTGTAGCTTTTGGCAGAAAATGGGAGACTGCAGCAGGCACCAGAAGTACAGGCTCTTCACATGGTGATGCTGCACATTCACTTCCCACTTTTACTTCCCTTTCTGGTACAGTTCCCTTCCCCTCTTGGCAGCAGAAGCCAGTTCTTAGGTTACAGGCATTTCCTTTTCTTCCCCGATGGAGTACCATGGGGACTTTTCCCTATACCATAATCGGCATCTGCCAGTATGGGAACTCTAAATCAGCAGAAGCAGCTTGCTGTTCTCAGCATCTTCCTCACCTTTTTGTCCTCTGAAGCTACAATCTAGGTCTCCTGCACAACAAGACAGTCATAAAGAAAAAGCTGCTGCCTGTGAGAACAGGCACAAGAAAGAGGTACTAGAAAGTGCATTTAAGAGGACCAGACCTGTTATTTTTAAAGGCAGCAAATTTTGCACACACAGAGCAAAGGTTTCTATGATGATTTAGACATTTTGACTGTGAATGACTTTCTGTAATTGTTCCAGTACATTTCCTTTTCATTATTAAAATCAAATTCGCACTGAACTCTACTCCTCTTCTTCTCCAAGAGTTCACAGGGCTAGCACCAGTGTGCTTGGTGTTGGAAAACAGGCAGAGCTTACTGCAGTATACCCCCCTCCTAAAGTAAATCCCTGGTTTACAATCCCACTTACAGCAGAGTGAGAATTGAGATAAACTGTTTTTGACTGCCACAACCACGCACAGATACAGCTTATAATGCAACCCTTCCAACTTGTAGACACAGTACTATGACTGCTATTTCCACCACTGTTCTAGGTGTCTCAGCCCTCGTGCAGGAAGGTCAATAATTTCTTCCCCATACAAAAGCAGTTCAGCAGAATGCTCAAAAGCAGCCACTCCCTGTATCAAAGCAGAGTTTCAGTTTAGTACAAAACTTTATTAATATCAATACTGCAAAACTATAAAAGTGAACATAGAGACTCTTGAGCAGGCTTGGAGCCTGTCCCATTCATCAACCTCTGGGACAGCAGCAAGGCCCCAGGCAGCCTTGTAAACAAACTAGAAAAAGCAAAACTTTCAGTTTAACAGCAGTCTTGGGATTTGGCTCTGAGCAGGGGCGCTCAGAAGAAATTCCTCATTTCTGCTTTACAACACTTATCCAACATTCTGAAGCACATAGGCATGGGTGAAAAAAATTACATCAGTGGAAAGAAAAAGCCTAGAGCTCTGAAAATGGAAACTACAGAATCAGTAGGTTGCCAGCTCCATACTGCCTTTGCATCCCATGAGGCAGGTAAAGAGCTCTGGCATCATCATGTTCTTCATGGTCTAGTTAAATAGCTGCAAGCACAGAATAGGCTAAGCCTGAGGTCTTGACAGATGCACATTTTCCAAGAAGCTTGCATATGGGAGAGGCTGGTGTTCCCTAGGCTACCCAAGCTACCCATCGCCTTACCCCGTGAACATTCTACTTTTCAGGACGTTAACCTTGTTAGCAAAGGGTTTCTCAGCTCAATTTGGCTAGAACAGGCTGAGGACCCTGTCATGAGCTGCTCCACAGCAGACTACAGGACATGGTAGCCTCTGACAAGTGATGACAAGCAGATGTGGCAGGCTGGAAGCAGTAAATTCAGCCGGATCTGAGAACATCTTTGAAGTTTTCCTAGTGCCACTTGGAGGAGGAACAGAGTACTGACACAACTTTCTAAAAGGGGAAGCAAAGGGAATCAGGGAAGCAAGATCAGATCCAGGGAGGAAGGACAAAGTAAAAGTCTAATGCCCTGCACGGCTTATACTGCCCATTGCCAACACTTAATTTGTGCCCTGTGATCCAGAAAGGATCAAAATACTAAATCAGTTCTCTAGATCCTTCCCTTTTCGCTTCCTTCCCTGTGATTTAGAATTGGTTTTTGTTCTCATCTCCTCCTGCTCCCAAGACAGTAAGTTAGCTTTGAGTTTGCTTGTCCCAGGGTTTGCCTGCCTCTGCCCTCTGCGTCTGGACAAACTCCAGCTTCCAATCCCCTGTTCTGTCATGGCTTTCAAAAGATGTTCTTGCTTCTTGGCCACCATCTCTGCCCGGCTCCAGATCAGAATAATAAAGCCTGAGAAGAAAAATTAAACACTGTGCCTCAGAAACTCTACATCAAATATAATACCTTAGGCTATGTCACTCAAATGCCAGAAATTCCAAATGCTTTGTCTTCTAAGATATTTCCAAGGTACAAAAGATGCAAAGATATTTAATGCAGATACCATCTCCACACGGCCATGGAAATTTGATCTAATTAAGAAACATCACGAAGTAATTCCTAATTTCATCTGTCACAGGTCTAAGACGTAAATCCATAGCTAGCTCCCTTAATGCCATACAGCCTGCGAACAACTGGGTAATCTTGGCTCTGCAGCCTAGGAAATTAGGTAAATTAAACAAAGGGAGAGGATACAGCCTAGCAGGAAAAGGCTTCCCCCCCCAGTCCTTTTCTGCTACTGTTTGATGGCCAGCAGACGGCAGCAGCTCCCTGCTGCGGGGAGGCTTCTCACTCCTCCAGACTTCATGCTCTCAGGAATGTTGCACAGGAGACGACTAGCAACCTGTTTTCTAACTGCAAAGGTGAAAGACTGAAAGGAAGGTCTTGATCTCTCTTACAGATGTAGGAAATTATGGAGGACTACTAGCAAGTGGGATTTGGGAAACTTTAGTCTGGAGAAACAAGCCTGCCCTTTTTTGGGACTGGAACCCATCCGTGCTTAGTGCCCCAGGTTCCCTTTACTTACCCATGCCAGAAGCTAGTGTGTCTCCCATAGGGTTAAATTTGTTGAGCTGAAAATGGAAACACAGAGTTCATAAGAGCATCACTGCTTATATAACAGAGTCATAAGAGCACCACGGCTTATGTAACAGCAACAAACCATCTGGAAAACCCAATGTTCCCTAAAGAGTGTCACAGAGAGCCCACAGAAGACCACGGACCAGCCTTGCTCGAGTCAGCAGCTTTAGCCGGCAGCCATACCCCCACGAGAGCGTGAGTCTGTCACAAGTAGAGGATACTCCTATTGTTCCAGCCCCTAACCCACATCTCTTGGCTGCAGTTCAGTACACAGTGGTCCTTTTAGCTGCAGTGCTCAACTCACCGAGATGATACCAGAAGCATTTGGATCATGGAGTTGACAAACCATCTCCCCAGTGTTTCCATCGAATACATCAACAGTCCGTAGCTCATTCACCGTGTACCCTGGGAACTTAGGGTCTGGGTAGCGACCTGCTACAATGAGGTCATACCGAGGATGCCATGTTGCCTAGTCATAGAGCAGAGTGATGGGGAGTTAAGAGAAAGGAACATGAGCTCATACTGACACATACCAGCCAACTGCAGTGTGAGCAACAGTTTGTACATCCCACCCACAGCCTCAGGAACATGGGTATCCTCACAACAGTGCTCTGCTGGGAGGTGCAGCAGTGTGAACATCCGCCCATCAGTGTAGTATCCTGACCAGAAATCAGACCATTTCTGATGTACAGCCGGCTGCTAGCACCAAGCACGATACTCCTTTCAGACTGCACTGGCTTAACTCACCTTAATAGGTGTGAGGTGCTGAAACTGCCGATGTGGATGTGGGATCAGATGCTGTGGCTTGGTCCAGTCTGAAGATGAGTAAACCCTGATTTCATTGCGCTGGTCTGTGCTCAGGAGCTTGGCACCATCTGTTGGGCTGAAGTAAGCTAGGAGAGGGGGACAGTAAGGCAAACAAAAGATCACAGTGCTGTGATTGACAAGAAACATAAAAGTCACATTTCTCTGATTGGAAACCCACTGCTATTTCTTTAATAGGGGTGTGAATATGGCCATGTGTCCCAATGGACAAGACTTTACCTGTCTCAAAAAAACTCAAAGCTCTTAAAATCAGTGAGCTGAAACCTACAGCGCTGGGTTGCATAGAAAGAATCATTACTCTCATTTTAGAATCACAGAAAGAGACATTGCAAAGAAAGGAACTTGTTTGTTCAAATGGAAAGTTTGTGGAAATGCTGGAGACAGACACCTGCCGTTTGGACTTCTTTGAACTGGTAAAACTGCACCCAAGAAACAGAGGTTTGAGTCCCATGCTCTGCTTTTGTCAAAGGAACTGCCCCAATAAATTCAGTTTTCTAATCTCAGCCACTGCTGATGCTTCCACACTCACCTCTCAAGGCACAGTGCCACAGTTTGTATGGCAAGTCTAAGACTGTGCTGCAGCTGCCCTGTCCACCTCCCTGCCTCTGGCCACACATTCCCAATCCCTTCCTTACTTTAACACTAGCTACTGTGCAACTTCGAATCTAAGCAAAAGCTAACACTGCCACAACAATAAAAGCTCAGCTGAGTGGACTCTCTGCAGATGTCTTATGCAATGAAATCCTTAACTCACCTGCATTGACAGGTTTGCCATGAGGAAGCACATGAAGACAATTTGTTTTGTTTTTGATGTTTCTGAGGTCCCAGATTTTGACTGTCTGATCCACAGATGCTGTGGCCAACAACCACTCACATCGGGAGTTAAATTCCACATGAGTGACTTTCTTCCTGTGCAATTTCAGCTTCCAAATCTGCAGCAGAGGAAACAGAAAATCACAGAGAAAAAAATAATCAAGGTCTGGAGTAAAGTGATAGAATAATAATCTACTAGGGCTGAGTAAAGAGGTCATGCATTTACATAGTAACAAAGCTTCTAAACCAAGAGTTTATCCACTGGAAACAAGAATGGAGAAGAGTGACCTTGGGAATTAACTATTTAATTCTAGGAGAACTCTGATCCACCAATTTATTACAGCTACGAGAAAGGAAAACACAATCCCTGGTTCATGGAGGGAAGTATTACTGCCACTGTACAAAGCAAGATCATATCTGGAATACTTTATGCAGTTCCAGTCTTCCACCTGCAGAAAGATTAAACCAAACTGGAACAGGTACAGAAAATGTGCTGCTGAGATAATAAGGAAGGGCCTGCTTTGTGGGAGACAACTAAAGAGCTTGCTTTGTTTATCTTAGTAAAAAAGGTGAGAGGAGATATAATTGGCTTCTAGAAATACATCAGCAAAGAAACATGAGGGTAGGAGAAATATTTCAATTAACAAGAACAAATGAGTATAAACTGGCCATGAATAAATTTACATCCAAAGCTGGAATATTATTTCTAATCAAAATGGTGAAGCTGGCCCACCCTCCCTACAATAATGGGTATCTCCCAAGTGCAGAAAAGACTGTCACATTCTTTCAGGAGAAAAAAAAAAAAGGAAAGGAAGCAACTAACCTTGAGTAAGCACAAATAATTTTGAGCACTCCTGACTCTGCCCGCTAATTTATACAGCTGCCTCTGACCACAGCTCATTGGGTGGCAGGCTCTTACAGATGTTACCCTTACAGGCAGGAAAAACGGTAATTCCGGTGTGACGGTACAGCAGGCTCTTGAAAGCAGGGCCCACTCCAACTATTCTCTAGTGTTTCTGTACTACTTCAGACTTGAAGGCGCAGTCTGCCTCTGCCTGCCCTCTCATGTCTAATCGCAGTAGTGCAATTTCTATCCCAACATTCGCTGAATTACTGTTGTGTACCTATGCCAAGGTCATGGAAGGGTATACATCAAAGCAGTATCTCCTAAATGACTCCCATCAGTGCACTAAGTTTCTGGAATTGTGAAAGTCGTTGGCAGAGGGTGCTTACATCTTCAGGTTACCCTACAATTACTCTGGCCAGTAGCAAATACCCTTAAGGAAGGGGTAGCACATGACACAGTCCCTGTTTGGGAATTGTTACCATTACGCTCAACAACATGAAAATGTCTAATGAATGGCAGAAGTGGAGGGATTCTCACCACCTAGACAACTGGTGAACTCATCTCCTGAGCTGCAAGGTACTTGCTCCTCTTTTCAGGGTCCCTCTAGTATAGGAAAGCACACGAGCCATGAAGATTCCTATAGAGGAGACACTGCATGGAGCCATACAAACCTCTTCACCGGAAGTGCTGAGCAGGACCACGTTGCCCACATTATCACCTGTCACCACTGCACGGCAGCTTGCAGAAACATCAACACTGCAGTACCAGCAACTAGAGGGAAAAACACAAAATCAGTGCTGCCTCCCACAGGCAAGTGAAGGCAGTGGAACTCTGGTTCACATCTCGTCCCTGACAAGGGAGACTGCAATAGATTGTAACTGCAATCTGCTGCCTGATGGTGTGGGCCTGAGCATCACGAAGGGGGAGGATGGCTTATCAGCAATGCTTCCTGTTGGTGACTGAATATGAAATAACTTCCTAATCATTTGTAAAGTGCTCATTCGATGGGGTGTGACACATTGGGACAGTGGAACATAATAGAGGCTGAAAAGCCACTTGGTGCCTGCACACGGACACACCTTGGGAAAGATCAGAACACCCTTGTGACATTGACAAATGTACAGAAACAGCTTTAAAATAATGTTTTCCACAAAACACTGAAGCAGCAGTAAAGAAAAGACAAAAGCTTTGGACTGGAAAGTTGCACATCAAACTGTCTCAACTTCATGCTCTAGGAAACAAAACTGAATGGAAACTTATGTGATGAAGACATACGTTTTAACCCCAGCTGTGCTGGGAGGGGAAGGGCAGCAAGAATAAGGTCGGGGTCCTTTGGGAACTTGTTGGGAAAGCTTCACTTGCGAAGTTAAATTATTCTAGAATTCAAGGTCATGGAAACGAGCATGGCGAGCCTGAAGCCTCCAGAAGGGCAGCAGGGTAAACTCAATAACCTGAAATTCAGATTGTGCAAGAATGTTTTGTGCCTTTCCTACGCTAGCTGAGCTGCTACAGACAAAATACACAGAACACTGATGACAAGAGGAGGAAGTTATCCTGCTCTTCTCACCTCACACATTATGAAGTGAAAAGCTGTCAGTATCTGCAAGGCAGGAGATGGCATCACCAGAAAGCAACACCAGAAGATGCAGGCAGCACGCTCAGCTACTGTAAAAGCATAAGTGCCCTGTGGCTGCCTAGCTTGTCACCCATCCTGCAGTGCTAGGGTCGCAAGCAGGAGCCTGTCTCCAAGCTCCCTCACAGGACCAATACATACCAAGAGTCTCCTAACACTGGCAAACATGAAGATGTTAAGAGAGCACAAGAAGCAGTGCAGCATTAAGCCCAAGGAACAGAGAATCAACCTTGCGCTGCTCCCTTCTCACCAAACATTATGGTACTCGTGGCCACAGTCCGGGACACAGGAGATCACCTGCACCGCTCTGCCCTCAAGGTCGTGCAGACTTAGGGTGCCATCCCCGGATGCCACATAAAGCTTCACTGCCTCATAAGGACTGAACTTTATGTCTCCAAGAGAATCTCCTGGCCCCTTCTGGAACACACACAAAGCCAAGAGGCATCAAGGTTAGAGTGGAAGACAAAAATCTTAATACAACACTCATCTCCTGGAACACACTGCCAGTTTCCCTAGGTACGCTGCACTGCTTTCTGACAGGGCACGTGCACAAGAATTCTTTTTTTCCAATCTGTTTCCAATCTAAGCATATACATTCTAAGCCTGTAAGTTCAACCCCACCACTCTGGGCTGCAAACCTCATTAGCAGCATTGCTGCTTCTGCTATGGGCGTAGGGCTAATCCGCAGTGAACCACCTGGCCCAGACCAGGCTTAGGAGATCACAAGCAAAACCAGCACCATTCTGTGCAGAAACCACATAAAATCTCATGACAGCCCTGCACCAAGTTTTTCTTAGAGAGACTTCATTCACCAGTTCCCTACAGGCTGCTTCCAGTGCTGTATCTGGTCTTTCTCAAGGTACCAGCAGGCAGGATGAGAGCGGTGCAAGGAGAAATCCTACTGCTAACCCCGTGGCACAGGAATCTTACATTCTCTATTATGTTATATTGTTACGTTGTTTTGTTATGTCATTTTCCCCCAATCTGTCTACGGACGAAATATGGAAACCCTACACAAAGACAGAAAAGAAGGATGCTAGCTGGGAGTCCCCGAACTCTTCGATACTCAAGTGCACTCCATCTGCTGCTCACAGAGCAGCTACTTAATAAAGTCTCACTGTAAATACCAGATTTCAAGAAGCCAGTGAAGATAAAAAAAGGCCTATCCATAGAGCTTGCCTGTCCTCACAGCAGTAGGAGGAGGATGGCATGCCCTTTCAAATCCAGGCACCATTGGTGTGACAGGCATCGCACTGGGATATGAGATCCTCATGTCCCAAGACCCAGTCTATCTCTCCTTGCTCACCTGTCCAGTCATCCCAGCACGACTTGGGTTCACCTTCTGCCCTATTACAAGGTTGCCGCTGAAACAGGCAATTTAGAAACCAACCAAAGTTGGCACCAAGAAAGAATCAAGTGGGGAAAAGTAAAGAGGAGGCTAACCGAAATTCCCTCACTTACCTTTAAGCACTGAACTTAAGTAACTAATTGAAGAGCTCAGGCTTCCTCATGAGTCCACAGAAAAAGCAACAGTCTGAGAGGGTGATTCTAAGCACAGGCAGACAGAGTAGCCTCTAGCAATTCATATCCTCCTTCCACTCATTACTGAAGGAGCCCAGACTCTTAATTTTGGTATTTTAGATAAGCACCAGAAGTTAGGTGGGATGAATTGGGGTGATCCTTATGACACACACCATTTGAAGTCAGTGGCATTTGTGGATAAGCACTGAGGGGACTATAAATTGTCCTGTAAATCCATCTGACAACAAGCAGCACTGCTAACAGGTGAAGAGGTTAGAAGGTCCCCAGGGCACAGAGCTATGGGAGGTTTAAGAACAGACAGCTGAGGAAATCCACTGGCAGCCCCACGCTCTCCCAGGTACAACAGGAAGTAAGCAACATCAAAGAGTCCCTCCCCTTCATGAAGAAAAACTCTCTCCTACCCACCACCCCATTTCAGGGAAAAATAAAAAGGGAGAGTGAGCCTCCCTGGAAGAGAGAGGATTCCTGAAATTTAGAGGATAAAGGACATGTATGTGGAGAAGAGGAAGCCCAGCTCCCACATGTTAGAGACAAACACATCTCTCTCTCTCTCTCTCTCTCTCTCTCTCTCTCTCTCTGTGTAGCGCTCCTGCCAGCAGGACACAGAGGCCCAAAGCATTGCTGTATTTCTTACTCCCAGTCCTCGGTGCTGGTGAAGACCCGGACAGTATTGCCATTAAAATCCTGCAGGGTGGTAGTGCCGGCAACTGACGAAGTGTACAGCTGACTAGGGTTAAAAGGGTTAAACTTCATTCCTGTGATGGCCCCTCCAGCTCCCATCTACAAGGAAGGGGATGAACAAAAGAAAAATCCACTGAGTGATGGGGCAGGAGAAAAGTGTGTTCTGTAAGTCTGCATTCACTGCTATGTCCTTAACAGCAACAGTGAAACACACCACAGCCCTTCAAGGAGGCAAAGACAACCACGTCTTCCCACATGATGGCTGTCCAGGCAGCTGCCCTCCTGGAGGGCAAAACTGCAACTCCTTCAGTCCCCAGGCAACGTATTCCCTGGCTGGCTGGCACCACACTATTTATGAAAAGAGAAAGATGACCCTGGAATTTCAGGAGAATGGACCTCCTCCCAGTGTATACCTATGTTAATTTAGAAAGGGGACAAAAGATACAGAGTCTTTGAGCCCCTGTCGGAATGGGAATGGCTGAATACAGCAACGAGGGGGCATGCCAGCTATATACACCATTCATTCTACCTTAAGTTTCTCACTTCAGATAAAGGGACTTTGCTTCTCCCCACTCAAAGATGCTTCCTCATCTGACACAGAATAAAAGGCGAGCAGAGAAGGATCAAGACCTAAAACAGACAAACCCTCTCTGCCTACTTGTTTCTGGCATCCCTTTAAGATAACTGTTTTGCCAGTTGCTGAATTATTTTTCCACTGAGCACACACCAAGTACTGCTTCATTATGAACTTAATCAATACGCCTCAGTCCTCCCCAGTGCTAGAACAGTCTGGGACTTAGGAACAGACCTGCTGTTGCATCTCAGTCCGGCCCCACAGCTGACTACTCTGCAAGCTGAGACCCTTATGTGCTTCTCACAACAGACCTCAGTTTTGATCTGCAGTATTTGGTGGTATTCCAATTTTCCCTCCCACCCATTCTGCACACCCAGAGACTTACCCCTTTTATGAAGCAGGTTTTAGTAAGTACTTCATAGTCCCAAAGGATGATATCTCCACCTTTGGAACCAACAGCTACAGTACTGGGGTGTGTCGGATGCCATTCCAGGCATGTCACTCTCCTGTCAAAGGGACTTGCTGTTCGAAAGAGGCGGTATGAGGCGAGAGAACGCAGAAAGGGCAGCTGTAGACGCTGTTGAAAAGATAAAGAGCATTATGACTTTTGCAGGGATCCACAAGATTCTTTGCATGAGGAGTGCTAACAATTTCTAATTGCCATCAGTGTTAGTACATTCACACAAAATTCTAAGCCTCTCTGTAGAATGAAGAGAACATGTTGTCCCCAAGGGAAACAGCCTGTGACCACACAAATCCACATCAGCCACAGCACTCAGAAAACAACAGAAAACTGGGAGATACCATACTTTGCATGATGTACAGGGAGTTAAGCCTCGCGGGCTGAGCTAAAAAGGCAGGATAATTGACATTAACAAGGAAGGAGAACACACCTCCACACCAGTAAAAGGCACTTATGACTATCTGTGTCTTTCCTGAGCATCCTAAAATGTTACACATCATCCACACATACAATATTATGGTCCTCCATCCAAATTCCTGCAGCTCAACTACACAGCGTAAGAGTGAACAGAACTCTCAAAACAGTGAATGAGAAACCATGACATGATTGTATTGTTATTCAGCTGAGGAATAGGTGCTGCTTGGATGAGCCTGGCGATTTCTTTATCGTTTGGATACTTCAAACAGATAGATCATATGGAAGATAAAGCTAGCCCAGGTGCTTCCCACCAATGGATGTTACAGAAAAAGTTAATTTTCAATGAAAGAAGGAATATGGCTCTGAAAACATTACGGACTTGATGGAATATGTCTGTGAAGAGGAAAAATCAACACTAAACCTGACATGATTAGCAAAGTAAAGTGCATACAAAAATAGTATGACAAAACAGTCAGATTAGTGTGCCAAAGTAGCACTATGCAGCAACTCAAACAGTAGAGTGGGTAAGTTTAAATATGATTCAAGGAAGCACAGAATTAACAGAGGGATAAAATGTAAAGTGACAGGGCCAGGTCAACTGAAAGGGAAAGCCATCTCAGCTCTTGCATTTTACAGGATTAAGAAACATAAGGGCGCGCCAGACTCAGAGCCACAAACTGTGTATGTGAGGAACTTTAAGCCCTTTTATAAAGTTTTCCTGCGTGTGTTCATGACAAGCTGAGATGTCCAACAGGTCATGAGGGAGAAACACCTCACCTGCCTGAGCTGTGCCCGAATGGAGCCTCCCAGCATGTTCTGGTAGACATAATGAACAATGCTGCACTGCCGCTCCAGCTGATGGACTCTCTTGTTTCTCACCACAGACCCACCTCCACTCCAACCTGCCAGAGAGGAAAGAGTAAAACTTACTGAGAACCAACACCTGTCATGCTCATTCAATAAAAAACATGGGAAGACATCTGCATTTGCTGCTAAATCCATGAAAAGCTTCAGCCACAAGAGAAAAGTCTCTAAATGATTCTTACATCTCTAAGGTGCAGCAGCCTCTGCAATCATGGAGTCCCGTGCTTTCCATAGCCTGCCAGAGCTTTGTGTATGCTTCCTCCTGTTAAACCTTCCTTCTCCTTGCCAAAGATTTATCAAAAAGACAACAGGAGAGGACTAAAGCAAAGCCACAGGTGGTGCATCTCTTGGACTGTATACAACTTGAATGGTTCATACCCAAAACACAACAAAGCTATCCAAAGCCCCAACAACTTGGAAATATGCCATGGGAGGCGGTAAGCCCCTGGGTACAGCACGGGAAGATCAGACGTGTGACCAGCAGAAACGTTAACACCTGAAAATTCCCCAAGCACAGAAACACGAGTTCCCACACGGTTCCTGAAATGCCTGCTTGTGAATCAGAATTTTCGATCTGCTTGTGCTGTAGCCCATACAGTCTGCCTACAGCACTGCGAGTTTTGTTTTTGATAATAGACTTGCTGACACCTCATCGCTTGAAAACCTTTCTGTTCAGAGTGATTTTTGCTGAGAGTACAGCATGCTTCCACATTTTGTTCATGTTCCAAGTTTTTATCTTCAGGGACCTTTACATAAAAAATGGATCTGTTCAGTCCCATGTCTGTGATCTAATCATCCCCATGGCAATAGTCAGTTACACTCCAGGGGATCTAGACATCAAAAGGGGAAGAAGCATTTCTAAGAAACAAAATGCTATTTTCATTTAAGGATAATCATAAAAAAACCCAGAAGACCAAAACCATAGGGATCATTCTGTACGATTAGAATCCAAACAAAATCTTTCTTTAATGCAATCTTTCTTTAACGGGGCCTAGAAATGCATGGGTGTGAAACTAGGCTTCTTTGTTCACATGCCAACATAGCGCCAACACTTGTCACACCTGTTGAAATAGGTAAAAAAGGATTTCTATTCCAATTCCTCTTTTTTCACAGAATAATTAGCATCCACAGTTCCTTCTTCAGAAGTGACAGAAATGGAGGTATTTTTTCCAAAATCTGTTCTATTACGAAGGATAATTTATTAAGAAACAAACTTTAGGCCTTTTTAGAATCTGCTGGAAGAAACCCTTTAAAAAGGTGTTTCAATTGCAAAAAACTGAACCTGTCCTATATGGCTCAGGAGAAAAAGATATTTTTTCCAAAACATGTAAAAATCAAAACTGGAACACAGAACAGAAAAGCTGAAATACAAAGGTCTTAATCTTTTTAAAAAAGGGTTAAGGGAAAAAGATGATTGGCTTCATTTTTCCAAAGTAGCTAGCTACATCCAATTCCCTCTGAATCTTACAGGAACTGCAGATGCTCACCAAATCTGAAAATCAGGCCATGAAGTTACAATGAAAATCATGTAGCTAAATTAACTACAGAAGATGCTTTAATTATCCACAGTTATACACAGAACTCCTTTCAAACAGAGTATTTTGCCTCCACGTCCGCTGTTCACACTGCCAACTGCTCCAAGTTTGGCATTATACACCAGACAATGGAAATGTACAAAATCATAGAGCTCCTGTAGCTCTGTTGAAAAACGCTTCAGTAATTTCTGGATCCTTAAAGCCAAAATTGTACAGGAAGTGTATAATATTTCCACACAAGGCAGTAACTCTAGTGATCCCCTAAACACACAATGGAATTAAAGGCTTTATCTCAGAAAAGGAGGCTCGAGGGAGACTTCATCGCTCTCCACAACTACCTGAAAGGAGGTTGTAGCGAGGTGGGTGTCGGTCTCTTTTTCCCAAGTAACAAGCAATAGGACAAGAGGAAATGGCCTCAAGTTGCACGAGGGGAGGTTTAGATTGAATATTAGGAAAAACTTCTTCACCAAAAGGGTTATCAAGCATTGGAACAGGCTGCCCAGGGAAAGGGCTGAGTCACCATCCCTGGAGGTATTTAAAAGACGTGTAGGTGTGGCACTTAGGGATATGGTTTAGTGGTGGACTTGGTTGTGTTAGGTTAATGGTTGGACTCGATGATCTTAACCAATCATTTCCAGCCTAAATGATTCTATGATTCTGTGAAAAGTCCTTACTGTAGCTGAAGCCTACACAACTTTCTTGATAATGCAAAGCATATTAACCTTTCCAGTATCCTAGAACCTAATCACCTCTCCTCATTATATCAAAAATCTTTAAGAGAGTTGTTTTTTTTTTAAAGTTATATACTACAGGAAAAAAATGCACAAGGACAAGTGATTAGTGGAAATTCTGTCCAGTCTAATCTGAACACAGAGGTAGAAAGTATTCCTACTTACTGTGGCAAAAGCTGGAATATGCAAAGAATTGGGTGGAAATGCCAGTTTAGACTACCTGCTATAGGATACCAACCTTTCAACTATGAAACTGTATTAAAAATTGCATGGGAGAAAAAACAATGTCTTACCAAGATTGTTCTGTCCAAGCAGACATCTGGTAATTCAGGAATTCCACAAAACTTAACCACCCTCAAATGAGTTGTGACAGCACCTTCAGTGAGCAGCCTTCTCGCAAGGGGTATGGAGTCTCAAAAATGAAACACACATGCATGCGCATGCACACACACTCACTAGACAGGTAATTGGAAGATGTCCTACCCTAATACATGCCTGTGTATCACTTCAATATATAACCCCATCTGAACACTCATGTCTGAACACGCTTCTTGGCATTCTCCCTCTTCGACTAGTCGATGCCTGTCATTTACGGTAAATGTGGTTGGGAGAAACAGTAAGGATCTGAGGAAATGTTACCGATTTTCTCTGGGGGTTTGGATGTTTTTCTCACAAACAACTTCTTTGCCTGTGGCTCGTTCCCTAGCTCCTCGTAGTCCGGTTTCCTCTTCCCAGCTGATTTTGCCCCTTCTGGCCAATGCTCATGCGTCCTCTCATGCTTCTTGCCCTTTGGCTGGTTCACTGGAGCCATTCTGTCTGACCACTAAAAGCAAAGCAAGCATGGAAGGTAAGACTGACATACACTTTTTAACTAGAAGACAGAGAGGAAAACTGGAATGAAACATAACCCAGTGGTCTGAAAGTAGTGATTATACCTGTACCCTCTTTCATCAGCATGACACTAGCTTTTTGTTGTGCTCTGCTGGAGCGGGGAATAGGTTCAATAAACTCTTCTTTGTTCATGTATGAAAATGAACGTATCCTAAAGCATTAGAGTATGTTTTGACAGATGTGCTTCTACTGAACTTTCAAGCTTAAAACTCACAGATCTGCATGAAGTACATCTGTGAACCCACATAATACCCTAACTGTTTCTCTAGTAGCTCATACTGAGCTCTTTAAATTCAGCTAAGAAAAAGGTCAGAGCGTTTATGACAATGGCCGGGGCTGACTAGTCTTCCACCAAATATGCTCAGAGGACACTTCCTATTTAACGGCCCCTTTTCCACACAACCGCCACCTGGTATTTGGACTGGGCTCCTACGCTGGCTGGC